ACACCACCCTTCATTGAGTGTATTGTTATGTGATATAAAGTCTCACACCACCCTTCATTGAGCATATCGTTATGTGATGTAAAGTCTCACACCACCCTTCATTGAGTGTATTTTTTGGTGATGTAAAGTCTCACACCACCCTTCATTGAGTGTATTGTTATGTGATGTAAAGTCTTACAGCACCCTTCATTGAGGGTAGTGTTATGTGATGTAAAGTCTCACACCACCCTTCATTGCATGTATTGTTTGGTGACATAAAGTCGCACACCACCCTTCACTGCATGTACTGTTGCGTGATGTAAAGTCTCACACCACCCTTCATTGAGTGTATTGTTATGTGATGTCACGTCTCACACCACCCTTCATTGAGGGTATTGTTATGTGATGTCACGTCTCACACCACCCTTCATTGACTGTATTGTTATGTGATATAAAGTCTCGCACCACCCTTCATTGAGTGTATTGTTGTGTGATGTAACGTCTCACACCACCCTTCATTGAGGGTATTGTTATGTGATGTAAAGTCTCACACCACCCTTCATTGACTGTATTGTTGTATGATGTAAAGTCTCACACCAGCCTTCATTGAGCGTATTTTTATGTGATGTAAAATTTCACACCACCCTTCATCAGGTAAAAGTCATCCGTAAACCGGGAAGATTGCTTCCCAACTTCCTTTGATAACTCTATAACTAAATTTATGATATCTAGTTGTTTGCTTTCTTCGTTTTCAGTTTTGACATGATGAATGCTCAAATGGCGTGGGAATTCGCTTTTGTTTTTCCAGCGTCGAAACCACAAAGTTCCTGCGAAGAAGGAGAAAAGGAAACATGTTCTTAGAAAAGGATGAAGCGGTTTGCTTCTGATTGATTGTTTTTGTACTTGACGAGCAAGATGCTCGCACAGACTCAGTGCTTGGGATTTGGTTTGTCTTTCCTGGGGATGAATGGTTTTTCTTGAGCATTACTTGAGCATCTTACATGTGATAAATTGTACTTGTTAATTTGGGTTTTGCCTGGGGGCATGAAAGAAGGGACATAAGGACATTATTTCTCTTATTACCATGGAGGGCAGCAAACATGTGAAAACCACATCTTTGAAGTGCAATCTCACAAATTTCTCTGCGATTTAATGGGTGTTGGTCTTACAAAGTGGCACTGAAATTTGTATGCAGTTTGTGCGCGGTTTGTTTGCAATGTATGTATTTTTTCTGCAGTTGGTATGTTGTTGTTTTTTCTGTTTTTTTTTAAAACCAATACTTTGAAGAAACGATATGTGAAAACAAAACATTTGCCCGGTGTTTTATGAGATTTAGCTGCTGTTTTTTGTTTGCAATGTGTATGCATTTTTTCTTTGAATTTTCTTTTAGTTATTTTTTAAAACATTTTTGGCATCTATTATATATGTTCCATGCGTTGGTTTGTTTATGTTTTTTTTTATGCATTTTTGAATGCGGTTTTAATGTGGTTTTAAAAACATCACACGTGCAAAAACATGCGCAATGCATCAAAAATCATCATTGTTTTATTGTGTTGCACAAACATTAAAAACCATAGTTTCTTTTTGTTTCAACATCCTTTTCGGAACACAGTGGCTAGTCATAGAAACACATTAACAGCAAACTAACTGCACAAAAACTGCATATGTACACATTGCAAACCTATGTCAAAAAAATGTTTTTTTTTCCTACCACAAAAGAAACCATTTTCAATGCCCAAAAGGATTTGCTGCAGGCCTTTGCATATATTTGAATGTCAAAACTGAACTTAAAGAACCTAACACGAGAACCAAACAGTATGAGCAACACAAGTAGCATACCATGCTCGCACGTAACACAAACATGCCAGACTTACAAATGCACAAACAACACAAATAATTTGTCATGCTCTCAAATAATTTAAGTAAACTGCCAGGTTCTCAAGAAACACAATTATCACGAGGAATGCAGGTACATTCTGAAGCAACGCGCGTCGGGTTTGAGTCTCAACAATGCAATATTTATACATGTGGATGTTCAGAAATTCAGTTTGCATGCCCGCTGCTTCATGTTTTCTTTCATGCGCAGGTTTCTTTACTTGTGAGTCACTTGCCAATTATATATTATACTTGTGAGTTTCTTGTCACTGTCAAGTACTTGACAGTTACTTGTGACTTTACTTGTGCCTCAGCGCATGCAAAGTTCATTCAATCAATCTGGCAAATTCTGGTGAAGAAGCAATACATTAGATACCATCCCTCTGGACTATATACGTTGGATTAATATTCGCGAATATGATTTGTTGGTTTCTCTCGCGCATTGTGAATTTCGATTGAAACTAGCTGCCATCATTCAAGCAGTAGACATCATGGAGCCAGCAAAATAGCAACTCTGAAACCGAGGCGCATTAATCACTGTGACGCGAAGTTGGGCCAAGTCCTCTCACTTAAGGTTTTTTACTTATAATTTTACTTGAGTCCTCTCACGTGAGCATTTGTACCCAAGTCCTCTCTTCCAAGAATGCTGAGCGTGTGTTTTTCACCATATATAAGCATACACACACACACATATATATATATATACATATATATGCAAGTTAGTCGAGCATGGCCAACTGAGTATTGGAACTTTTGCAACGAAAATGAAGCCCTATGCCTATAATATAACATTCATGCCTTCTTAAATGAATCTCAAGAAGCTGATCAGTTCTATGTATTTTTGGAGCATAAAGTTGACATGTTAATCTGAAACATGTGAGTTTGCATTAATTGCCTGAATAGAGTAATTTACTTACCTGAGTAAAATCAATTACCTACCTACCTAAATCAAATTATCTACCTACCTGAATTCATTTACTTATCTGCTCGTTTGAACTACCCATCTGCCGATTTGCAAGTTTTCTCCGACCTAATTTTTTCAGTTTACGCGAATTTGCTGCCCAAGTAATTTATTAATTTCGGAGACTCAGGGTTTGGAAGGTTCACATTGAGAAAGGTTCACACGGAAAGGTTCCCATTCGGAAACTTGCCAATGAGAAGGCATTCGCTGGGAAGGGATCGCATAGAGAAGGGCTGTGATTGGACATTTACAAATATGGGGAGAAGGTTACAGTCAATTTTTACTAACGCTACTGCTGGGAAAAGTGCGCAGTGAAAAGGTTCCCATCATGGGGATGGTTTCAAACGTTCCTTACCAGCGGTTGGAGTGGGGATGAGGGGGGGGGAGCCATTAAGACCACCAAAGGAACAATTTTTAATAGGCCTAAATAGGCTTTGGGGAAGGCACCTCGAAAAAGTTGTTGTCAGTTGTTACCATGTGTTATCAGCCGTTTTTAGCATGAAAAAACAAACCGCGGAATGCCTAAGGGCCAACAGGTTCACAAGACTCAGATAGTTACTTCAAAAATGTGTTGCGATTTTGAATACCCATAAGCCGCCGAATTGCAAGGCCGACAACGCTCACGAAATTCAGGACTTGATTTGTTCCCCAATAAAACACAACTATAGAGCTTAGAATTTTCAAGGCCCAATAAGTCCTGATACCGAAACCATTAAAAAATTAAGTTTATAAGGCTCAAAATCTCCAAAGGCCGCAAAACTCAGGAAGTAGCTCAGAAGGTAGCCCAGGAATTTCAAACATTGAGCGTTTTCGCGATTGACGTGCTCCAGAAGACTAAGTAATTGTTTTTTCAAGATGTTGAAGTGCAAAAAAACACAGAAAGGTCAGGAATTAAAAGCCTTCCCTATTCAGGAAAAACATAAAGCTCACAAAGTTCAGATATGGATAGCGTTCCCAATAAAACAGAAAATGCGAAGTGCAGAACTTGAAAGGGCCTAAACAAAGGTTACAAAATTCCCAAAATAACATTATACAATCTGAAAAAATCCAAGGGCCACAAGGCTCACATGTCACAATTTATAAATTGGGGAATCTCCGAGAGTCAAACAGCTTACAAAGTGTTCATACTGCTCGCATTCTGAAATAACATTTTGACAAGTTCAGAATGTCCAAGGGCCAAAAACTTCCCAAGATCAGATCGTGAAAGCGTGTGAAGTTGAGACCACAAAAAAATGAGAATTTCGAAGGGCCAAGAACATTGGAAAGTGTGGAAATTGAACAAGACAAAATACCTTAGCAAGGTAAACGTTGAAACAGAGAAATGTGTTTCATTTTGGTGACCAAAGTTCCAAAGACATACACGAAACTCAAGAAGAACCTTACCATTCGGAAACTTTTCTCTGGGTGGGAACTAGTAGGCCTAGGAACCTTTTCCTGTGTCATGCCATGCCATGAGCAAAGTTCTCAAAACCATGCCATCACATAAAATCCATGACATGACACCCATGCCATAACATGAAAACCATGCAGTGACATGAGCCCCTTGACGTAACCCATGCCTTGACATCAAACTCATGCCATGACAAGAACCAATGACATGACACTCATGCCATGACGTGAAGCCTGTGACATGAAACTCCTGCCATGAAACCCATGCTATGACATGAAACCCATGCCCCCCAAGCTTCAGCATCAAAAAAAAATGTGGCATTATTTTAAGCACAATATTTCATTATATATATATATATATACATATTATAATATACATATACGTATAATAATATATGTATATATATTATTATATATACATATATATTATATTATATGTATAGTATATAAGGAACATATCAGGAGCTGAGGTGGAATAATTATGAAAATTGAGGAGCTCACGAGCAATTGTGATCAGCTGTGAGTAACGCAATGATTTGTTACATGATGTGAACATATTGTGAAAAGACATTGCATCAAAGTCTAAAAGGCAAAAACTGGATTGCATTATAAATTGCGATGGTTATAATTACATGGAAAGTGTGGTCCGCATTCCAAAGATGTTGGCAAGTTATGATCTTGCCACTGGGATGGAAGTAGACATGAGTAGACAAGTGCTGAAGAGTGCTGAAGAGTGCTGAAAAGTCTGCTGGAGGGTTTCATGCCAAATGCCACGTTGCACTGACAGTGCGCTGAGGTATGGGCGTTTGTTGCTGAATAGTTTGGCAGGGAAAAGCGCAACAAGCAGCGAACCTGACGATTCTGAGTAGAGCTGGACATGCCTGGAGCAAAGACAAGTTAAATAATGTTAAATAAATACACTCAAGTCACTCAAGTGCAAAATTAGTCTAAAGATGTCTAAAGGCATCTTTTGATATCTTTTGAATGTTTTTGGATCTTTTGTAAGGGATCTTTGTTGCGAAGAGGAAGCCCTCTTGGCCACCCTCCTGGCCATGCTCCTGGCCATGTTCAGCAGATGCATGCATATGACATCATATGACTATGTATGATTCATTGATCAATGATGATGTCATGTACAGGTGCATCTGTGCACCGGGGTCTATTTGCTCGGCCAAATGTTGGACGAAGGTGCTCCCTTCTCTTTTGGCCACTGCGAAGACCGGCAGTATTGCACGAGCTCTGCAGCATGGGCAGTAGAACTCGGAGCAATGCGCAGTTTGCACATACATTTTCCGACTCCATCCTTTTGTCACAGAGGGCGTGTAGCTATATATTAGATATATTTATATATGATGTGCAATTAAGGCTATTACGATGCTATATGCAGCGTTCACATCACGTCAAGGGTCCAGGTTGTTGATTATGAATAGACTCTTGAGCACCTTGCAGAGAGAATCTGCACGGCACGACGGAGTCTCATCTGTCAAATGCCAAGAGTCGTACAATTGGTTCATGCCCAGAACTTTGTCTTCTTGGCCAGGGACTGCAGTGCTGACTCAGAAGAAGTGCATCCCGGCCAACCATTTATGCCACCTCGAAATACTTCAAAATGTTTCAATACGTTGCGCAGCGCCTTACAAGTCCTTTTATAACTGCTTTGGTGCTGTTAAGTTGCTGGATACGTGGCGCAAAATTGTGGTTACGGCGTCTGTACGACGCCGGGTAGTCGCGAAGGTCAGGAAAATGGAATAACTGATCGTACATGCCCGAAATGCGGGCGAGAAGCTTGTTTTGTAAATTGCCCATGATATTAAAACCTATTTTAAACCTCAAATCCCGCGGAGGGTTTGTGGAAAATGGCGCTTGGCATCGCAGTTCCAATAGAAATAAACACTATGTTTTTTTCCAACTTGGGTGTGCTGAAAGTTTCGGAACTTTTTCTCTTTGAAAAAGGTTAAAAGCCTAGCATCAAGAGCGTGTGGGAAGTTACATAAGAAGGGTTGAGGGCGTAGCATCAAGACTGTGTTGGAAGCTACATGAGAAAGGTTAAGATTCAAGAGCGCTGCACGCAGAGCATCTTGGAAGTTACAGGAAATAACAAGTGAAGAGCATAGCATCAAGAGTGTGTTGGAAGTTACATGTAAAAAGGTTAAACGCGTAGCATGCAGAGAATCTTGGAAGTTACAGGAAAAAACGAGTGAAGAGCGTGGTATCAAGAGCATCTTGGAAGTTACAGGAAACAACACGTGAAGAGCGTAGCATCAAGAGTGTGTTGGAAGTGACATGAAAAAAGATAAGAGTGTAGCATCAAAAACCTCTGCCAAAGAATGCGAGGCGACAGAGTGTTATTGTCTCCCCACCCCCCCACCCCCCAACTGAACCACCCACAACAACAGAAGAATGGACAAAAAATTCTATTAATGATAAACATTATAAAGGTCGCTGCTAGAAGTCATTGTGATACCTTTTGAATTTTCATCTCCAATATTCCCCAAGCTAATTGTCCATCCACATCCAGGAACAGAGTCAATCAGCACCTTAGGTGCCAATCTGGCACACCATTTGGGTTTTGCCAGAGACCGGTGCAAAGTTTGGTGATCAGAAGATCTGGGTCTTTAGCCTGACCGGCCCCACTTCATGTCCAAATGTGATGCGGGTGGGCCATGCATGCCTGGATCATGGTCTGCGGAGCTAGCCTCTGAGATGCGATGAGACTCACAGTTCAAGATTGATTACAGGTGATTACAGGTGATTACACAGTTGATTGCAATGATTAATGACATTTAATGACTACATATGACTACATACTTTTGGATGTTGCTTGCAGCTTGGATCAGATTTGCACCAATCTGGCGTTACAGTTTTAAGTACGCGCAGAAATGGGTTGCATCAACATGACTCCACCAGCCTGTGCTGCTGTTCTTAAAGGCCCTTATCATAGTGCTTGGTTAGGGGCGCTCTTTGAATCCAGATCTTTTCTTTTGATGAGCTCAGTTTTGTTGTCAACACCACCTGAAATTTCCAGGAGAGTTCCAGACAAATCCCAATAAAATCCAAGCAATTGCAAAGTTTCCATACGAATCCCAGGACAATTCCACACAAATTCCAGGACAGTTCCGCGCACATCCCACACAAATCCTCGGAAATTTCCAATCTAATTTCAAGCTACCAAATTCAGGTCAATTTCAACAAAAGGCTTAAAGCAATAGGACAATTCTAGCAAACCCCTGAACAATTTCCAAGGAAGATGGTAACAATTTGCCCAGACAATTCCAGCAAAATGCAGTCTTTAGGTGGTGTAAACAGCAAGTTCCAATGGATTGGATTTTGTTTACTTATATATATATATACATACTTGCACTTTCCAGAAAGTTTTTCAAATCTAACACTAATTTTGCGTAATTTTTCTGGAGTGCCGGATTGAGTTTTCCCAACGCGATTTGAAGGGGACTCCTAACAAAGCACCGTGGTAAGGGGGCTGTTTGAGCTGTGATGGAGGCCAGAGGTATTCCTGGCATTTGTCATCTGTCACTGTTTCGTTCCAACTTGCATGCTGTCACCTGCATGATAGTCTTTCTCCTGGTCCCATTGCCGCTTTTGGGATTAAGATGGAGCAAGTGACATCTGGGTGACAGCGGATTCCTGGCCGCTGATCCAGCAGCGTTTGATCACCTTCAAAACACTGTAAGCTGCGAAATGACAAGATTGACAAGTATACATTGTATACATCGTGGCAGGGGCGAGAGCCCTCAAAGATCCAAAAAGTCTCTGATCTCTTCAAATCTCTCAACATGCTCCTGATCCCTTACAACGCTACTGGAGTTCATTTTCTTTTGTGGCCATGCAAGGGGCACCTTGAAGCTGTGCACGTTCTGGTGGTGAGACTTAGACTTGCCCGCTAGAAAAGAAATACAGGAAGAGGATCGCTCATGGAATGCCACGCGTGCCAACCGAAACTGCGCTATAGGCTATAATTATGATTGCAAGATATTGCAAGTAATTTTTCGGCCTGGAGTCTCCGTTTGCCCGGAATGCAATTCATGACGTCTTGACGAAGAGCAAGAACCGTGGTAATTCGACTGTATCAACATGATATATTGATATGGTTTTGTTTGTGATCGAACATGGCTTTGCGATTTGCGAGTAAGGGTCTTCGAAAACTCGTTTTCCAAATCCCCTTTTTCCCCCTTTTCAATGAGTGGACTAGTTTCACAGGGTTGGGGATTTGATTTCTTATTGAAGATCTTCAATGAGTGCAATAGTTCCACAGGGCTGGGGGATTTGATCCCTTCTTGAAGATCTTCAATGTAAGTTGGGCAGTTTAGAGTGGAGGCGAACGGCGACTTCAGAGCCTATAAGATTTTACCTGCAGGACACGTGCGAGAGCTGAGAGCTGTGTCCGCATTTTACTGCAAGCTAGATGTTGTGTCATGTTGTGTGTTTTTTCCCGAGAGCGTCTGAGCGCAGGGTTCTTCCAATAGGGGGGTCTGTATCTCACCTTCTCATCTTCACACCTTCTCATCTTCACATCTACTCATCTTCACATCTGCTCATCTTCACATCTTCTCTCACATCTGCTCATCTTCACATCTGCTCATCTTCACATCTTCTCTCACATCTGCTCATCTTCACATCTGCTCATCTTCATATCTTCTCTCACATCTTCTCTCACATCTTCTCTCACATCTTCTCTCATCTGCTCATCTTTCTTCATATCTTCTCTCACATCTTCTCTCACACCTGCTCATCTTCACATCTGCTCATCTTCACATTTGCTCATCTTCACATCTTCTCTAACATCTTCTCTCACATCTGCTCATCTTCACATCTTCTCTCACATCACGAAAGCTAGCGTCAGCTAGCTGGAGTCTTCTTGCTTTAGCAAGTATTGGGGGGGCTGCTCAAGGACATCACGTGATTTTTCACGTGAAAGGCCCCCCCCCACCACCACCACCATCATCATCATCATCATCATCCTCCTCATCGTCATCGTCATCGTCATCGTCATCATCATCGTCATCGTCCTCGTCCTCGCCCTCGTCATCGTCATCATCGTCATCATCATCATCATCATCATCATCGCCACCACCACCATCATCATCATCATCATAATCATCGTCATCGTCATCGTCATCGTCCTCGTCATCGTCCTCGCCATCGTCCTCGTCATCATCATCATCATCATCATCGTTATTCAATTACATTTTATCATTATTGGCAATTATTGTCATTATCACGAAAGCTAGCGTCAGCTCGCTAGAGTCTTCTTGCTTTAGCACGTATTCCGGGGCTCCCCAAGGACATCACGTGATTTTTCCCGCGAAAGGGCCCCCCCCTGCCCCCTCCCCCATATATATCATTGTTGCATCCTCGTTGGGACGAACAATGCCGCGACACGCTGATGACAGTCCCTCCGCAACTCACCTCTTCCCTTCCTTCTTTCTCCTACCCCGCTAGCTTTCGTCATCCACCCCCGGCCTCAAGTATTCTCTCACATCTTCTCTCACATCTTCTCTCACATCTGCTCATCTTCACATCTTCTCTCACATCTGCTCATCTTCACATCTGCTCATCTTCACACCTTCTCTCACATCTTCTCACCTTCACATCTTCTCCCCTTTCTCTCTCCTTTTTCTCTCTCTCGCCTTCTTTATCTTTCTCTCTTTAGGCCGAGGGTGGTACCGGCGGCGAGTCACGAAACGGCAACCCTTTCGCACGAAATGAGGGTCGATCGGCAAAAACTGAGGTAAAATTGCGATTTGACTTGTGCCGGAGCAACCCTTTCGCACGAAATGAGGGTCGATCGGCAAAAACTGAGGTAAGATTGCGATTTGACTTGTGCCGGAGCAACCCTTTCGCACGAAATGAG